TAACATGTGTGAGGCACTGGCTTCGATCCTTAGCACTACATAAAAAATAAAAAAGATATTGTGTCCACCTGTAGCTAAAAAATAAATAATAAAAAAAGAAAAGAAAAAAAAAAGAATGGAAGGGACTGCAACCATTCTTTATATTAAGACTCTGTTGGTGGCTGGGGCTATAGTTCAGTGGCAGAGCACTTACCTAACATGTGTGAGACACTGGATTCAATTAGCAGTACATAAAAATAAACAAATAAAGGCATCTACAACTACAAAAAAAAGAGAGAGAGAATGTTGGGCTGGGCACAGTTGCGCATTCCTGTAATCCCAGTGGCTTGGGAGGTTGAGGCAGAAGGATCATGAGTTCAAAGCCAGCCTCAGCATAATATATATATTATGGCTGGGGATGGAGCCTCGTGGTTAAGTACCCGTGGGTTCAATCCTCCCTACCCCCCCCCAAAAAAAAAACTGTTGGTATCTTACAGTGGGATTTAATTTTTAATCCTCAAGACCAGCACTGAGGTAGAATTTTTTCCTCCTATGATCTAGTATTTTAGTTCAGACAATACTTACTAAGGTAGATTACCATAGAAATGTTATTTGATTTCTTTAATGAGTTCCAAATTATCCTAAGGAGTTTTTAAAAACCAGATTCCTGTTTTCCCACCCCTGCCTTCCTTTGTGACTCAGTGACTTGTGATAGACATATCATAAAACATTCCCAGAATCCTTTGTAAAGCATAATAAGATGCACACATAGTGCTGATGCTGTGGCTCTGAGGTCTGTCACCTTCAGAAGTCGACTTGTGGCAAATATGGCTACCCTGCCAAGTGCAAGAGAAAGTATAACTGGAGTGCCAACACTCAAAGACAAAATACCACCAGGTATGGTTGAATGAGGCACATAAAAATTGTACACACAGAATCAGGCATGGATTCTGTGAAGGAACAACTCTTAAACCCAAGAGGGCAGCTGTTGCAACATCCAGTACATTTTGAGAGTTTCAAGCCACCCAGTAAATGTTCTGGTTTTAAAAAATAAAAAACAAAGGCTGGGAATGTGGTTCAGTGGTAGAGTGTCCCCTAGAATGCACAAGGCCCCAGGTTCAACTTCCAGCATCACAAAAAAACAAACAAACAACACAACCAGGGTGTTCTGACTTCTGAGCTAAGACTAAATGTTAACACTTCCATTTATGTTGACTCTTCCTAATAATTTTAATTTTGATGTTAAGTGGGACTAGAACCATCATCTATTGTAATGGCTTATTTAAAAATAAACAGATGAGGCAAGCACATCCCCAAGTGATTCTGATGGGTTAGGTTTGAGAATTATGGACTTAGATGTTTATATGTGTGTCTTTCTGGCCAACAAATTCCCCTAGGAAGTATTTTAACCATGATCTTCTTAGTATATAACAGGAGGGTAATTATCAGGAAAACTTAATACTTTTTCTACAACATATTATCTGACATTATTCTATGTCAAATTCTAATCTTTCTTTCTTTTTTTTTTTGGTATTGGGAGTTGAACCCAGGGGTGCTTACCACTGAGTCACATCCTCCAGCCCCCCCCCCTTTTTGATTTTATTTAAAGACAGAGTCTCACTTAGTTGCTTAGGGCCTTGCTAAGTTGCTGAGACTGGCCTCAAACTCTGAATCCTCCTGCCTCAGCCTCCTAAGCCACTAGGATTACAGGTGTGCGCCGCTGAGTCAGGCTCAAATTCTCATTTTAACCTAATTGCAACCTTCTCCAGAAGTGGGAGGGGAATTTTCTTTCATTATAATCTGTCTTACACAGCTGTTTGTATTGAAAGGCTACTTGATTCTCCTCTTTCATAGTTATATGGACAGCCATATTAGCAAACATTTTCTGTAAAGGATCAGATAATATTTTATAGACTTTGCAGGTCAAATGGTCTCTATCTCATCCACTTAGCTCTGCCACCGTAGCACAAAAGCAGCCACAGATTATAGATATTTGTGGATGCTGAAATTTGAATTTAATATAAGTTTTATTTGACACTAATTTTAAAAAAAATTTTTTTGATCATTAAAGATGTGAATGAAGGCTGCCAGGTGTGGTGCTGCACGCCTGTAATCCCAGTGGTTCAGAAGGCTGGGAGGGAGGTTGCAAATTCAAGGCCAGCTTCAGCAACTTAGTGAGGCCCTAAGCAGCTCAGTGAGCCCTGTCTCTAAATAAACTACAAAAAAGGGCCAGGGAAGTGGCTCAGTAGTTAAGTGCCCCTGGGTTCAACCCCTAATACCAAAAAAAAAAAAAAAAAAAAGGGAAGGCTGAGGCTGGAGGAATGCAACTTAGCAAGGCCTTAAGCAACTTAGTGAGACCTTGTCCCCCTCACCAAAAAAGCGGGGAGTCTGGGAATGCGGCTCGATGGTTAACCACCTGTGGGTTCAATCTCTAATTCAAAGAAAAAAAGTGAAAAATTAGTCATAGCTTGTGGGTTAGAGAAACAGTATTCTAGATTTGACTCCTGGATAATAGTTTGCAAGTCTCTGATCTAAACTAATCAAAAGTTTTAAAACTAACTTACATAGCAATTAATAGACATTGATTCTACCTCAGAAACTAGGTTTGAGATTCCTCTAGAATTGAAACTCAGTTTCACTTGCAATTCAGTAAGATTATTTATTTAACAATCTTTTTTTCACATAAAATTCTGTGGACCTCCAGCCTGTGCTTTAAGCTTGTCTGCCTCTTTACTCAAAGCATATTTGCTGCTCTTTTTTTTTTTTTTTTTAATCTGGCAGTGATAAATATTGAAGCCAAGGCCTTGCACACCTTGGGCAAACACTCTACCACTGAGCTACATCTCAGCCCTTTTTATTTTTTATTTTGATATTTGCTGCATTGCCCAGGCTGGCTTCAACCTTGTTATTTTCTTGCCTCAGCCTCCTTAGTAGCTAGGATCACAGATGTGTTCAACTACACCCCCCATGYCCTGCCCCACTTAATTTTTTCTTTAAGTTCCTTCTTGATACACTCCTCATTTAAGTATGGAAAATTTCATTTGGAAAATTGTATTCTTTTGATTTTTTTCCTGCTCCAGAAACTATCCAACTGTCTGTTTTCTTCTTTCTAAATAGAAGAGGGTTGGGGAGAGGCCTCAGACCTACCTCCTGCCCCCACCCCCACCAATTTCCTCCTCTCTTAGATTCTTTCTCTCAGGTTCTGATTTCTCCTTCCCCAAGATAATTTACCCATTAAAGGACCACAGTCTGCAGTTTGTAAAACACTGAGATACAATAAATATAATTGCAAATGGTAAAGCTGTACATAGAACATGTCAATGCTACTTTGGAATTTTCTTGGGCCTGGCCCTCTCTTCTTTATATGTATGAATGAATACTATGTTTTAGAAGATTATTGATTATTTCAGGTGGATTATTTCAAGTGATCTCCACTCATCTTCCCTTCTAGGAGATACCAAGGGATGAATCACTATAATCAGGTTTATAAGCAAATAGCACTAGTTCTCAACAGAAAGGAAGGAAGACAAATGTATTCTCCTGTCTCCTATTCTTCCATCTTTTCTCCTTCCTCTCTCCTCTCTTCTCTCTCATTCCTGTGCATCCCTCTTTGATCCCTTCCTGTCCCCCCATCAGTATTATTATTACCATAAATTGTTTATCTTTTTAATTTTAACCCCTGGTCAGTTGAATATTAAAACATATTTTCACTTCTTGTGAAGTTGGGTCAGAATAAATCTCATTTTGATTTAGTATATTAAGTAGTTTTCTCCTAAGTCAAAGAATTTATCATAATCCTGGTTTACCAATATTCCTTATATTTTAGTGGACAAAGAGATGATGCAGATAATAAGAGAAAAATCTATTTTACAAGCACAGGAGAAAGCAAAGGAGGCTACAGAAGCAAAAGCTACAGCAAAGCGAGAAAATCAAAAATATACACTAAATGTCATGATGCAGGTAAGTTGCATTGATAGGAAAGTCCTCTGAAGAGATAATAGTAAGGATGTGAAGACAATTAGTTTCAATCATAATAGTTCTCAACATTTGATTATAGAACTTACTATATGAGCCATCTGCTAATTGCATGTATTCTGGAAAATCTGTGAAAGTCAAAGGTATAGTACTTGGGTGGTAAGCTGGGTGCTGTGGTGCATGCCTGTAGTCCAAGGTACTCTGGAGGCTGAAGCAGGAGGATTGCAAGTTGAGGGCAGGCTGGGCAACTTAGTGATACTCTGTCTCAAAATGAAAAATTAAAAAGGGCTGTGGACATAGATTAGTGGTACACTTGCCTAGTGCTAGATCCTTAGTTCAATCTACAGCACAGGAAAACAAAATTAGAACTTCTCTTTCTGAGAGTGACTCCTAAGAAACTGTAATATTTCCCTGCCTTTAGTTAGCTATAAGAAAATTCTCTATTCTCAGCACTGAAAAAAAAAAAAATCTCTGACTTCCCTTGTCTGATAATAGGTCATTAAGCCCCCCTTTGATTTTTCATCTCACTCTAGTTAGAATGGCAATTATCAAGAATATAAATAACAATAAATGTTGGTGAAAGTGTGAGGAAAAAGGTACACTCATACATTGTTGGTGGGACTGCAAATTAGTGCAACCACTCTGGACAGCAGTATGGAGATTCCTCAAAAAACTAGGAATAGAACCAACGTTTGACCCAGTCACCCACTCCTCACAAAAGATTTTAAATCAGGATACTACAGTGATGCAACCACTTCAATATGTATAGCAGCACAATTCATAATAGCCAAGCTATGGAGCCTACCTAGGTACCTTTCAACATATGAATGGATAAATAAAATGTGGTACACAATGGAATATTGCTTAGCCATAAAGACTTTGTACATTTGCTGGTAAATGGATGGAATTGAAGACTATCATGCTAAGTGAAATAAGCCAGTCCCAAAAAGACAAAGATTGAGTGTTTTCTTTGATATGTAGAAGCTAGTCCAAAATGGGATAGGGGGATAAAAAAAAAAAAGAAAGAAGAAAGATCAGTGGAGTAGACAAAGAAGTATGAAAGGAGGGGATAGGGAAAGACAGTGGAATGAATCTGTGAGTGTGTATGTGTGTGTGTGTGTGTGTGTGTGTGTGTATGTATATGTATAGGAACATGAATATACCACAGTGAATCTCACCATCATGTACATCCACAAGACACTAATTAAAAAAAAAAAAAAAAAAAAAAAACAAGTAGAGGGGCTGGGTGTGTGTTTCAGTGGTAGAGCATTCCTCTAGCATGGGCAAGGCCCTTGGTTTGATCCTCAGCACCACATAAAAATAAATAAATTAATTAAAGATATTGTATCCAACTACAACTAAAAAAAAATATTAAAAAAAACTATAAGTAGAAAAAAAGTATAAGTAAATAGGAAAAGACCCGTAGAGTAGAGGGAAGGGAGTAAAGGGAGGGAAAGGGGAAATACTGGGGACTGAATTAGAACAAATTATATTCCATGCCTTTATAATTATATCAAAATGAATTCTATTGTTTTGTATAACTAAAAACATCCAATAATAAAAAGACCCTCCTTAGTCCAGAGGTGTCCTGCCCCATACCTTGAAGGAAGAAATGGTATACATAGAACCTTGCTGGGTTTCATCACCATGCCTATGCAATGAAATCTCCATAAAACCCCAAGAGGGGGCTGGGGATGTGGCTCAAGCGGTGGCGCGCTCGCCTGGCATGCGTGCGGCCCGGGTTTGATCCGCAGCACCACATACAAAGATGTTGTGTCCGCCAAAAACTAAAAAATAAATATTAAAAATTCTCTCTCTCTCTCTCTCTTTCTCTCTCTCTTAAAAAAAAAAAAAAAAAAAACAAGAGGGCAAGGTTCAGAGAGCTTCCATATAATATATCAGGGCATGTGGAGGTTCCTGGAAGTAGCAAGCTTGAAGAGGGCATGGAACTTATTTACTACTTCCCCCATACCTTGACCTATATGTTGTATCATGTGTATCCTTTGTAATATTCTTTATGATAAACTGGTAAATGTGTTTCTCCAAGTTCTGTGAGCAGCTTGAGCAAATTATTTGGACCCTTCACAGGTCAGAAGCACAAGTAAAGACCACCTGGGGCTTGTGATGACATCTAAAGTAATGGAGTGGGGTGGGGTGTCAATCTATGGCATCTGATGCTATCTCTAAGTAGATAGTATCAGAACTGAACAGGATTAAAGAACACCCAGATGCAAAACTGATCGCTCACTTGCTGGTGGGGAAAAATTCTTACACATCTGGTGTTAGAAGTCTGTGTTGATTGTGGTGGGAGATGAGAGGAAAAATAGACATTTTGTTTTTCTTAGATTCAACCTCTTTCTCCTTATTGCAGGGTAATAATTTGCTCTGTAACCTCACTTTTCTTATGAGTCCAAGAAAACTTGACTTTTAGTTTTTCCAACTTTTTCTTATTGTAAGAATAGGAGTAACAATTTTAAAGCTCTTTTCTTGTTTTTAAAATTTATTTAAAGTCTCCACAAAAACCCTGTGGGGTTTGGAGAGCTCCCAGATGGCTGGACATGTGGGGCTTCCTGGAGGGTGACACATTTGAAGAGGGCAAAGCCACAAGTTTTTGCTCCCTCACCCAGAAATGAGTCATACCTTTTGCCAACAAAGCTGCTGGGTTCTTTTTTGCTAAAGTCATGTTGGTAAAACTGACCGGCTCATCATCCTAGCTAGAAGTAAGTAGTTAGGAGCATTTTCAGGCAGGACACAGCTTCCCTTTGTTCTAATCTATAACTTTGTCAGTTTTCTTTAAATAAACACTTTTCAATTTGCAGTTTTCCTTTGGTTAATTTCCAGTGCCCTAAAATGATTGTTTTTGATAATTCTATCCTGTTTTATCCTTGATATTTATGGAGAGGAAATGGCCAGCCTTTCATATCGCCATAAAACCTGAACTTTTTTATTTTGCATATGAATTTTACATTTATTTACCAAGTTTCCTATGATTCCTTTTGGTATTTTGATTGAATTTACATTGACTATAAATTAATTTGCAAAGTATAAATCTATTTACATTACTGAGATTTGCTTTTAGGAACATTTTCAGGAACATTCCTTTATCTTCATTTATCTTTATTTATTTGGATTTACTTTATGTCCCTTAGGAAAATTATGTAGCCTACATATAAAACGTGCTCATATTTTGTTAAATTTATTCTTAGCATTTTAAGAATTTTTTTTCCTGGGTACCAGGTATTGAACCCAGAGCCTCATGCATGATAGGCAAGTACTGTTTCACCAAGATTTATTCCAGCCCTTCATTCTTAGCATTTTAAGTTTTTCTGGGTACTGAGGCTTTAGTTCAGTAGTAGAACACTTTCCTCGAATTCATGAAGCCCTGAGTTCTGATCCTTAGCACTGCAAAAAAAGAAAAAAAGTGTCTAAACATTGTCAAATGTCCCAGAGTGGGGAGGGGCAAATCGCTCCAAATCAATCACTATAGTGTTCCTTATTTTGGAGTCTTTCCCTGTCTATCTATTTGATATGTTTGTTCTTGAGTTGGATCCTTTTATGTTAAAAGGTAAATATATGTAAAGAGTTTCCCTGAGTCTTGTGAGTTCTTGTAACAAATGATTGGAGATTTTTTAAAAAATTTTTTTTCGTTGTTGATGGATCTTTATTTAATTTATTTATTTATATTGGTGCTGAGAATCGAACCCAGTGCCTCACACATGATAGGCAAGTGCTCTACCACTGAGCCACAACCCCACCCCTGATTGGAGAGGTTTGTGAGACCCTCCACTTTATCGCCGGTCAATTAGAAGTATCATAGCCCTGGACTTATTACTGGTATCCATTTGAGGGCGGGATAGTTTTGTGAGACTGACCCTAAACCTGTGGGATCTGGTGCTAAGTCCAGGTAGAGAGTGTCAGAATTGAATTGTATTATAGGACACCGAGTTGGTGTTAGAGAATTATTCAGTATAAGAAAAATCCACACATCTTGGTGATCAGAAGTGAAGTATAAAATATTGTGAGAACCAGTCATAGTGACACACACCTAAAACCCCCAGTTATTCCAGAGGCTGAGGCAGAAGTGAAAGTTCTAGGCCAGGAACTTTCCAGAACGCTCGGTGAGAGGTGGAGGAGCAGCGGCTGCCCGGGCTGCACACAGTTACTCGCTYCTTCCCACTCCCTCACAACGGCCCCAGCCCGCTCACCAGCTGTAGAAAATGGTGAAAGAAACCACTTACTATGATGTTTTGGGGGTCAAACCCAGTGCCACCCAGGAAGAATTAAAAAAGGCTTATAGAAAACTGGCCTTGAAGTACCACCCTGATAAGAATCCAAATGAAGGTGAAAAGTTTAAACAGATTTCTCAAGCTTATGAAGTTCTCTCTGATGCCAAGAAAAGGGAATTATATGACAAAGGAGGAGAACAGGCAATTAAGGAGGGTGGAGCAGGTGGTGGTTTTGGCTCCCCCATGGACATCTTTGATATGTTTTTTGGAGGAGGAGGAAGGATGCAGAGAGAAAGGAGAGGTAAAAACGTTGTGCACCAGCTCTCATTAACATTAGAAGACTTATATAATGGTGCAACAAGAAAACTGGCTCTGCAAAAGAATGTGATTTGTGACAAATGTGAAGGCCGAGGTGGTAAGAAAGGAGCAGTAGAGTGTGTCCCAACTGCCGAGGTACTGGAATGCAAATAAGAATTCATCAGATAGGACCTGGAATGGTTCAGCAAATTCAGTCTGTGTGCATGGAGTGCCAGGGCCATGGGGAACGGATCAGTCCTAAAGATAGATGTAAAAGCTGCAATGGAAGGAAGATAGTTCGAGAGAAGAAGATTCTGGAAGTTCATATTGACAAAGGCATGAAAGATGGACAGAAGATAACATTCCATGGCGAAGGAGACCAAGAGCCAGGACTGGAACCAGGAGATATTATCATTGTATTAGATCAGAAGGACCATGCTGTTTTTACTCCACGAGGAGAAG